TGAAGGCTTAGATGCATGAAAATCAAATATATCATGTAAACATTGAAATTTTCACATAAATACGATTGCACTAATAGTTGTGCCCTACAATCATACCACGTTTACGTGAATTTTAATAGACTATGCTAAGATTTCTTTGCATACGCTCAAATCTCAGTGTAAGCCTTTAGATTGTAGCATAAACGTTCTCCTACTTCAAAATATATATAAGCACACTACATTTAATAAAGAAAAGTCAGTTCAGGTCCACCTTAAATTACCCATAAAATAATAAAGTATACTTATCTGAATTCTCCTTGTAAAGTATTCTCCAAATTCTCCTTGTAACTTTAATAAACCTATCGAGACTCAAATTGATGAACTGAATTGACTTGTAACTTCGATGCGGATTATTAAGACTCGAATTCTGGAACGACTGTAGGATCCTATACTGTCATTCGTATAGTGACTTGCGAGAATTGCGGTAGTGACGACATCTATAGTTAAGATTTTAGACTTGAATAATCCATCACGTGACTTTAAGTTAAACGCCGATATCACTTGATCATCGTCCGCTTACGCCTGATCATCACCCTCAAGATCATCACCCTTAATTAAACATCCTTAAATTATCGACATTGTTCTTGATATCATCCCTTAATTACTATTGTTAACGGCATCACCCGTCATTGCATCACCCCTTCATCATCCCCTGTCAATAATAAGTATTCGATATTGCATCCCATTGTCTCTTTTGTTCAATATAAATATAAAAGACCTACTTCGTTTCTCCCAATTTATCTTTATCTCACCGTACACCGTTGGGGTTAAATTGGCCTTTATTCCATACTATTTACATAAGCTCTCCCATCAACGGTTACAATAGGGTGAGAAGTCTGGATTTTAAATTATACGTACTGTGAATATATCGAAGTTTTTATAAATTGTGATAATTAGAAGTTAAGTTCATTTATTAAGTTAATAAATAAACCAATTCAAGACATTCTTACCTACCCACAACAAAAGTTTCTTGAATTTTTAATTAGATATTGCTCTTGTTTCACTTCGATTTTATTTTTTTTTTCTTTTTAAGCTTGTAATTTGATTGGCTGATCTGCATGTGATAATACATGAACATGAACATCGTGTACTGTACATTTGACGGTCCCTCCTGTAGAATCTGAAGTCGTGAGCCCACCTAATGTTGAATCAATAAATCAAAAACTGTTAAAATCACTAACCAATTATAGAAATTCACATCACCCACTACTGGAATTATGGCTATTGTTGAAACCGTGAATTCACTCAATATTGAAATTACTAATCCATTTTTGAAACCTACTTTTGAAATCACTAAAACATTCACTGTCAACATTATTAATCTCAACCCCGCTCATTTCATCGGCACTCATTTATAATACAACACTTCAACGACAATCAATTCGCCGACGTGTTTATTTCACCGACAGTTTATTTCACCGACAAGGTAATTATGGTTATTGTTCGTTAAGGTCAGGGTAGAATTAGAATTAAGGTTAGTGTAATTTATAAAACAAACTTGTCTGTGAAATGAGCTGCCGGTAAAATAACCTGTTAAATGAATTTGTCGGTGAAATAAGTGCTAGTTAAATAAAGTAAACATATTGGTGAATTGATTGTCAGTGAACTTTTGTGTCTACGAAATGAGTGTGGGTGAAAGATTGTATCTGCGAACTGAGTGTTGGTGAAGTGATATAGAATCATAATATTGACTTGAAAAATTAGAATAATGGTCACTTGCTTGAAATTTCAAAGGATCGTATTAAAGCTATAAAAGTATCGCATAATAATTAGGAATAGTAAAGAATTATAGTTTTATATAAGCTAGCAGTTGAATTTGAAGTCATATGTGTCTCATTTATCTGCTTTTAAAAGCAAAAATTTGCACTTTCGGTTTTCTCTAATGAATTAAGAAATCTTTCAAATGTCAATTTTCAAAGTATTTACTTAAATTAATAAACATAGAATTCAGTAAAATTACATTATAAAATCCCCAGGAAACATGTAAACTAAAAACAGATTGCTATTTCCTAAGTACGCAGCTTAACGTCCATTATAATCTTTAAAATTTTGTATTTGTAATGATTGTAAAGTAATATAATGTCAATTATTTGAATTAAATAAATATTTATTTAAAAGTTATTAGTATTTTTACCCTCAAAATTATAAATTTCTTGTTTACTTTCGTAACTCCATAGATTCCGATGATATCTGTATGGTAGTCAACTTTTCGTAATAGTTTAAGCTTTTATCGTATAATTACCGTACATGAAATAAAGCCAAAGAGCATTATTTCAGGACAAATCGTTTGAAGAGATAATAATTAATTTAGCCGAAGACTTTTAATCACAAGAAATTGTGATTTGCATTCGGCCAAATTAATTATTAACTTTCTTCAAACTACATATTCAGAAGTAACGCCTCTGGATGTTATTTCGCAGAAACTTATTAGAATATCAGAAAGTAATTCAACCTTTAACATAACACAAAGCTCATTAATAAAATCTATAATAATTTTTTTCGTTTATATTCAACTTGATTTTATTAAATTTATCAATTAAGTTTATACTAAAATAAACAAAAAATAGTGTGGAAATGTAACAACCAAACAGATCTCTAAAAGTAGACCGATCTTAGATGTTAGGTGTGACGCAACAAAGTTTCATAATTAAACTTTGGTTGTGTGACCTATATACTTTTGCGTGTAACAATTTAATAGTTTATCCGAAGTACCGTATAAAGCATACCTTAATTAGCCTTTAAATAGTATATAGCTTATTTTAGAGTTTATTCATAGATATATATAGAACGTTATGTATTTTAATTCTTTAGTCTTTTTGGTATTTTGAGTTGGATTTTAGTAAGTTTGGAACTTGCTAGGTTGGTTAGTAAATAGGGATATTTGTTCTGTTAGTGTCTGGGACACAATAAAAGGATATTGGTTTAGTACTTTATGGTGCCTTGTGTCTGATAATAAACCATTGGTTTCCCATATTAATGCTTACGACCCTAAGCTAAATTGGCTCAGCCGATACAAGTAGGGATGGTTAGGTTTAGGTTCTGTTTTTGGTTTGGAACCTTTAGGTTCTATTTCAAAAACCTAAGAACCTGGTTTTTAAAAAGTTCCAAAACCTGGTTCCTGAACCTGGTTCGAACTAAAAACTTAAAATCTAGGGTCCGTATTATTTCACCGACAATCACTTTACCGACAGCTCATTTAGCCGACATTACGCCAGGTGAAATTTAGTAAAAATATATACCTGCAACTAATCAAATGTTTAACCCTAACCCTATGTGATGTCGGCTAAATGAGCGTTCGGTGAAATGATTGTCGGTGAATTGATCGGAACCGTAAAATCTATTATAAATCTAAAAAAACTAAGAACCTAAGAACCAAGAACCTACTATGAACCTAAAAACTATCATAAACCTAAGAACTTAGGTTCCAAAATTGGAACCTGGTTTTTAAAAACCAGGTTCTAAAATCAGGTTCTTAGGTTCCGAACCTAGGAACTTTGTCATCTCTAGATACAAGTCTCTCCCACTGGTCGTGACATTAGGCCGCACGTGGCTCTTTTGCCAATCACATCACTTTAACGCAGAGACATCTAACTTCAATGTATAGATGCTTAAAATAATACCCTTTTTTCAATCTTTCATTATACTTTTTTATATATCAACCAACTTTTAAATATTTCTCCAGACCTTTATTGCGGTATTTTAGGGTATTACAGCAATGACAGGATTACGGCAATGACAATACTACATTATGATTTTTAAGCAAAATAAAATGAAATTCAACATCATTTATATTTGTATTTACCATACAATGCACACTGTTAGTATTAATGAACCTCTGGAATATAAAGACGAGTTCACAAGGCAAATTCGAAATACTTGTAAAAGCAGAAAAGGAAGAAGCTACGATCACACCGACCAACCGAATGAGATCTTGTGGACATACACCATCGAACATGACTGCAAACCATACTTTTCGTTTCACATTTTTTTATTTAAATTTTACATATTCTTAAAATTCAAGTAAAAATTTTTTATTCAATTTGATTAGGTACTCATCAAGATAGCTTCATTTAAAGTTTTAAAAATTTTGACACAGCTTATATTTTGATATATACAAAATTCTTTTAAATTTCAAACAAAAAAAAAATAACTTATCTAACAAAATTCGATGAAAATTTTTTTATTTGAATTTTATGAATTTATAGAATTCAAATAAAAATTTTTCATCAAATCTAATTAGGTGCTCATCGAGAAATCTTCATTGTAAATTTTAAAAATTTTGATGCAGCTTGTACTTTTGATAAACGTTATTCTGTAATTTGATTGATCGATCATTTACCTACACTTTGCGATGCATTACCATGATAATTCTCTAAAAAAAATTAATTTTTAAAAAAGTAAATTCTTTATATAAATTTGTCTGGTATAGTTTACAATTTTATAAACTAAAAAAAATAGTAATAAATACGTATATTTTAAATTGCAAAAAAAAATATTTTTAAAATATTTAAATAAAATTTTTAGATAATAATACTTTAAAAAGACTTTATAAAGAAAAGGCTCATTGAAAAATATTGTAAAAATTTAGTTAAATCTAACCTATTTAACTAAAAATCTAATTTTCTTATAGCCTAATTTAGCTTTCCAAGATAAATTTTATCATCAACTTATCTAAAAAGATTTACATTCCAGATCTTTGTATGAAAATAATGAAAAATAATAATAATAAAAATTTTGTACATATAAATAATTTTTTTATAGAACTATGAAACAAGCTTATAAAATGAACAGAATCAAATCGTTATTTTATACATTATGGTTCACATTAACCATAGTAGTATTCTCAACATGGAAGTTTGTTTCGTGGTTTGAAGCTAGAGCTATACCTAATTTGAAGCTAGAGCTATACCTAATATTAGTGCATTTGAACTTGCAAAGTTTATCATTGAAAAAATTATTTATCAATATAGAGTACTCAAGATTATACTATCATTCGCAATATTTACACGGACGGTATTAGCTGTAAGATCAGAAAGGGCATCATTTATCTCAAGTATTATCAATGCATTATCAGTAAATAGTGAAGCAAATTTAATACTAAGACAATAACCGAGCTTTAATACGTTTATACGCCCATTTCCAAAAGCTCTTCCATCCATTCCATTAACATACTTTTCGTAAGATGTAACCCACCAGAATTTCCAATTAACAGTTGGATTTTCATTTTCATTGTAACGAGCAAAAAGTTCGTTTAAAAGATTAGTAAATTTTTCAGCGCGTTCCGCAGCATTTCTTTCGATCATAAATTTAGCAAAAAAGAATAGAATAGAACATATGGTAGTGCTTATAAAGAAGCCAATAAATGGCATAATTATAATAAAGATAATTGTAATCAAAATAGTACCAATGGAAGCTATTGAATATAATAAGTATTTTGTTTTTGGACTCATTAGTTCAACGCCTTTGACATGATTATTTATTTGATCAAGTCTAGCAGCGAATTCTTCACGAGATAAAAAACCGTGAAGGTCAAGACACCAGTCTGTTCTAAACGAATGACCAGGTTGACAATCACAACAAGTATCAGATGTATGCGAAAAAAGAGGAATTAAGACAACTTTCATGGTGTATAATAAATAATTCAAAATAATCTGGTTAAAATTCGAGAAAATGTTTAGATCAAAGTGTGAAATTAAGTATTTTTGACTCCTGGTGGAAGATCAAACTTGTATACATTATCAAAGTGGATTTTCAAAATTAAATACTGCTAGCTATAATAGGGGGTTTCAAAGTTAACAAATGAGTGGTGCATTTTGAAGTTAAATGAGTGTTTGAAAAATCTTATTTGTATTTCAAAATTTTAAAATCGGAAAATGTCTGGAGATCCCATTTAACTAACTTCTCCCACTTCTGATTGGTTCTACTAATTATTTACATATCGGAGTATCTGCGTTATTAATCAATTTTATAGTGCTCCGATAGTGAAGTGGGGAGAAATTAGTAAACTCACATTTAACGAAATAAATAGACTTTTCAACGACAAAATCTTCATTTCAAATTTATCGCAAAATGAAATAAAGTTCATTTGAAAATAAATCTGTAACCAATTTCAATTAAAATTAGTTTTCCGCATTTTAACTTTGAAACACCCTAATAGGGGATTTCAAAGTTAACAAATGAGTGGCGCATTTTGAAATTAAATGAGAGTTTGAAAAATCTTATTTGTATTTCAAAATTACGAAATAAATAGGCTTTTCAACGACAAAAATCATCAATTCAAATTTATCGGAAAATGAAGTTGATACATCGATCATTAAAAATAAATCTGTAACCAATTTCAATTAAAATTAGGTTTCCGCATTTTAACTTTGAAACCCCCTAATATATGAAGTTAGCACATAGAAAATTTGGTTTATTTTAGAGCGTTTAAAATTATTTAACCATCTGGGACAATTAGGCAATCATAACCAAGTTTGAAATGTACATTCTAAAAAATAGATGAATATGAATTTCATAATAATCTATTTTTAGAATGTACATTTTCTCTTGCCCGCACTCCAATTATATTACAAGCGTTCATTTTGATCATATAAAAAACATGATTTCATTATACATTCTTATTTTTATTTTTTAATAACAGTATCCTGTTATCTGATCGATCGATGCTATCTATGCTTCATACTGGATCACTTTAAAAGAATTAACTATTTGTATCTGTAGTACGTAAGTTAGCGTCTTCCTAGAGTTGCAACTTTGGGCATCTGAAGGTGGATTTGGTCAAACTAAGTTCCAAAATTGAATCTTGCTTGTATTAAATAGTAATTTTAGGCAAGTACGTGCGTTCTACTTTAGGTGTTTGAAGTTGCTACTCAAGGCATTACGCACAATATGAGCATCATTTCGTGAACCTTAAAAAACTTCGTACTATTTTATGATAACTAAAAGAATGGACTAAATTATACATATTTACATTTGAGATATGCATAGAATATTTAGAATTAAATTTGTCCATTGTTTGGATAGTAGATCAATTTTCCGCCTAATTCTGTAATTACAGTTTGAATGTACTATACCTGATTTGGATTAGAGTATCGCGTTCAAAATATCCAAGACAGGTAAAACTGAATACAGTAGTAACAGATGTAGTTCAAAATTTCCAGAATTATATATTTAAAAAAATAATCTAATTATCTTAATATCTGTTAAAGTCCATTTAGGTTAGGATTAAGGTAAGTATTATATGTTAAATTGCATTCTATACATATTTTTGTTAGTGTCAACTACCGTTTGGTCATTTTCAGAAAATTTGGACTGCAATTGAAAATTGGCATTAGCATCCACTTATTTTCGCTAATCAGTTCAATTTTTGAATATGAAAATTTTTATTTAAATCCTTGATGCACTAATTAAAAACACAATATCGGTAATATCCCTTAAAACTATTTGGATTTCAATCACACACGATAAATATATCTCAAAAGCGTCATTTTCTAAATAATTTATGAACACATTTGTCTGGTCTAAAGTTTTTGTGAATTAATTTACAACCTTAGACAAAGGTTGAGTATGATACTGTTATATCCCTCAGCGTATGGTCAAAGCAAATACGCAATACAAGAATGTAAAGTTCTGTATTACCCGATGAGCTTTCAAAGAAGTTACCACCTTTGTCCCGTTGTTTTTTAAACAAAACATTATGAGATCAATTCTTGAAGTTGTAAAAAAAAAATCTGCCGAAAAGTAATCAATCAAAATCAATCAAAATATAATAAAATTACCCCGATGTCACGAGTGTCCTGTCCGTTTTAAAATATCTGATTGGCTAAAAAAT